TTTTCAGCTCGTTGCTGACCAGCGCGCCGCACGTTAACAAGTCAGCGGAAAGTTGAGCGGCGAAAGGGATGAAGTGGAAATGAGCAAGTGTGCGCCCACGCGGTACGGGCGTGGGAGGGCGCGCGGACGAACGTACATGGAGGGCGAGGACGGCGGGCAGGAGGGCGGTTGGTGGGTGAGGATTATATCCATGTACACAGTCCACAGAAGTATGGCACTATGAAACATGACAAAGCCGATCACTCACCGGTTTCATGCTCGCCACGATGGAGTTGATCGAGTTGGGCCCATCGCGCTGCAGAATGGTCGCCGTCAGCATGGGTGTGCATGCGATGAAGTGGGTGATTGACAGCATCCACCGCCACAGGATACAACGCGGCGGACGAGGATGCCTGGCTGGCTTCCAAGATGCGGCCGTGGCAATTGCCGTCATAGCGCTCAGACGTGACCCCATCTCAACGGCTCTGGACGTGGTGGGCTCACAGCGGGAAGGGCGAAGGAGAGCGACGTACATAGGCAGATGCAGCTCGGCAGAGAGGCGAGATGGAGATGGAGGGCAACGAAGGACAAGGACGACTTACGGCGCACGGTGACCGCCGTGTTTCGCAGGAGGGCCATGCTCGCCCTCTCGATGTTCGAGCGCTGAGCGCTGAGCCGTCGCAAATTCGCGCAATGGCGATGGCGATGGCGCTGCGAACGTTGCCGGCGAGGGTGGCCTCGAAGCTCGGAGGAAAAGACATGAACGACGGAGAGACCGAGGGCGGCGCAGAGACTGGCGAGTCGTCAGGCTGTGTGCACAAGACAAGAGACGAACGCGATGGGGAGGAGCGGACGCTTCTTGGGTGGAGCAGTCGATCGGATGCAGGCGAGCAGCTGCTGACCGTGTCTCCATCGCTTGTCATTGGTGTTCCTGGTCACAGGCCCCCCATCACCAGGACCCCGTTCGTGCCCAGGCGTCTCTTGGCCTCCGGGACCCCGTTCCATCGCATGTGGCCCATCCTCCATCAACCCTCCAACGCAATGCATCTCCATTGTTGCTCGCAGCGACGGCAGACAGCCGCAAAAGGAGCCTTTGGCGCAGGGGCCCCGCTCGCTGCAGAAGATCCGCCGGTGTGAGATTCCTTCCCGCTTCGTGCCAGTCGCAGCTTCTCTGCCTTCGCGCAGTCTTCCATCACTACCGCTGCTAGTATCCCGGAACTTCCCTTGCAAGCGAGCCACGCCTGCATGCGACCCGTGTGCGCACCTAGGCCGCATCGCCCTTCGCAATCGCGCCGCCGCCTCTAGTAACCTCGTCTGGCTCGTCTACCCACGGTCACCACATGATGAGGATCGTCCTATACTTTCTCCATGGCCCTTTGTTCCCTTCTCCCCGGTCATATGATGCTGCCGGCGACGCGACTGTGAGCCTGCTTGATGCCGGTAGTCATGATCATCTCGCAGCCTCCATGCAAAACTCACCGGTTAGCTTTAATCTATCCTTCCCTGCCGCTTTACCACCATACTTCAATATCATTCGGTGAACAATGCGAACCATTCCAGAGCACCGACCTTTCGCACCGATCGTCGCGGTCAATCTCAGCGAAGCATACCACAAAGTGCGACTTCAAGCCCAGACGCTCACTATCGCCGCGAGCGAACAAAATCGGCGTTCCATCACTGATGCAAAAACGCCTGTGGCGCGTATGTATCATGTCGATGCGCGATTAGTGTTCGGATCCGGCGTTGTTCGTACTTCACTGTACGTCTCAGAATCAACTACGCAACCGTTTCACATTGAACGAAATCCACTTCGTTCTACGTAACGCTCCCTTGCGCGCTTGAGGCCCACAAATTTAGCTTGCATGGACGTCTGACAGCTATACGGATCAGAGCATATGCGCATGATGTCAACGTGGGCCAATGGTCGTCTGACACTCTACGAACGCGTACAGTTTCGCCCTCCTCCTTCCGGTGAACCCCACGACAAATCCGGGTCGACTGCCTCTTGACACAATCCACCGACTACGCTAGTGTAATCGGCTCAGGTACCGTCCGTTATGCAGTGGAAAGGTTATTCAACACAGGGGCAAGTTCGACGTGTTTTAGATTTCGGAAAGGCCGCTCAGTGCTGGAGGTGGTCATTCCACGGAATCGCCTACACCGTGAGATCATTTTAGATCTTAGGTGCTCCTAGGCTCACGTTCTTAGCGGGTTTGGCGAGGACACGGAGCACGGACCAAGTGGAGCGCGTCAATCTATGCATGTGCAAGTCTTGTTGCGACTTCGGCCTTTCTCATGAAGCAGCATGGTGCGCGGAACATCAACAGGATGCAAAGCGGCTCTGACGATAATGTAATGTCGATTCCATGCCTGGGCCAGCACTGTCAACAGTGTCCACGTCTAGCTGACCTGAAACGTCCGCGCAAAGACCACAGGGCGATCAACGCCGACAAATATGTCTTATCTGGCGACATAAACAAGCTTTTGTTCTTATCGCGGCGGTAGCTGTCGAAGCTTAGAGTTAAAGAAGACGGGACCATTTTGCGAGTAACCCTATTACTTCGAACAGAGTGGTCAGTATCCTGCCATCGGAGTAGGACTAGGACCGGGGTTATTGCGCGTGTCGAAGCCTTTCGCAATGTCCGAGGTGACCACAAGGTAGTGTCAAGGCATAATTCATGTGGGGTGTCTGAACCGTCAAGCACAGTTTGTTCCGTGTGTTAGAGGTGCTAGCTTCGAGCATCTGGGACTTCTGGCGCGAAGAGCTTGAGAACATAAAAGCTGAATCTCGTAGATATGGCCTTTCAGTTAATTTGTTTTTAACGCGGAATGAAAGCCTGGATGATGCGAAAAGGCCTCGTTGCTCGCTGGCGGGGCCACAACTCAACAGCCCGTCTGATCTGCCAGTACGGAAAAGGAACCCCACGTGGCTCGCCCGGTGGTGACCCCGCATTTGCCGGGACCCAGATTAGGCGACGACGTTTGCGCCAGTGCGCTCCTAGGTTCTTTTATGCTGCCTCGTCCTCGCTGAATGAATGAATACATCTCTTAGAAAGTACTTCGGTTCACGAGCCTTACCTGGATTCTGTGTCATTGTCTGCATCCTGCTGCTGTAGCTGCTTGCTTCTCCGTGCTTTTTTAGAATCTGCGCATCAAGTATAGACGGAGGACTTAGTCTGAGGGATCCTGACCGTGTACATATCACTCTTGGAGAGGCCGGAGAGGGGTCGAGTCAGGAATTTGCAAGGTCCGGTTCTTACACAATGTTCTTCAATCCGACCGAGATCTGACTGGTGGATGCACACATCTTTCAGGTGCTAAGGCTTTAGAGATACTGTGCAGTGCTGGTTTCCATAATGAAAGCTTCGGTCCACCTCCCCATACGCCGTCACATCCTCCGAACACGGACGCGTCTCACATGGACCCTAAAGGTCTGCCCTGGCTGCCGCTCCCTCTCCCTCTCCCGGAGCTATCAAACCTCCAAGTCTCAAAAACAAATTGCCGTCGACGCCAGCCGAATCGACGCGCCGCTCGACGCAAAGCCACGGCCATTCGCAGTCGAGCGCATCGGGGGCCGTGAATGCCATGTCTCATGGGGGGAGGGCGGCGTGGCGAAGGAATGGCGTGAGCTTCCTGTCCCTGCTCACGGTCGGGAGCAGGATGTATCGATGACGGCGTCCTTCACGGGCAGGTTCGCGTCTTGGCTGCGGCAGATGTTCTTGCCAACCAATTACCCGCAGTCTGTGCATCGCTCGTGAGTGGCACCATTCTCGTCTTCAAGACGAGCGGGGCGTCGATGAATGTGCTGATGCTCTGTAATAGGTACTGGTGGTTCCACGTGCTTCAATTTGTCGAAGGCATGGCGGGAACTATCGTCTCAGTGCTCTGCAACCAGGCGCTGCTGTCGGCTGTCGGCGTAAGCGCGGAGGGAAGCATCTTCGGCGCCGTCGCGGTGCAGTGGATCATCAAGGACGGCGCGGGTGAGATAGCCAAGCTGTTCTTCATTCGGCGGTTCTCGCCGTTCTTCGACAGCCACCCGAAGACCATTGCGTTGTTCGGTGAGGGCGTCATCGCGTTTGGCAGCGCCCTGCAGATGGCGACGGTGCTGGTGCACCCCACTCCGACAAGCTTCCTACTGTGTGCAGGTGAGAAGAGACACTTTACGATCGGTTGGACCTGATGGAGCTGGATATAGCTGGCGGGAACATCTTCAAGCTCGTCGGGTACGCTGTGAGTGTGTTAGCTAGATGTGATACAAGTAGGCGCTCACCGCCTGCTGCTTTGCCAGATCTGGTCCACAACCCACATGAAGTGGATGCGCTACTTCTCGCTGCAAGGCAACATGGGCGACGTGGCTGCGAAAGATGAGTCGCAAAACTCCCTGGCACAGCTGGTCGGCTACGTTGGAGGCATTGGGCTGCTGACGCTATCCCACTCGCCTGCGTACCTCTATGCGCTCTTCATTATCTTGACACCCATCCACCTCGCATCGACGACGGGAATGATGCAGCTGGCGACGTTCGAGTTGCTCACGCTGCCGCGCCTGAGCTTGCTCGCGCAGGGGTACGCCTCTGGGGGTGAGCATGGCAGCGACGGAAGCATCGTCACGCTGAGGGAGATGGACGAGGCGAGGAGCACCGGTCCGTTTGGCGAGTTCTTCAAGCGGAAGAGCGATAGGTTCATCGACCTCGCGCCGAGGGTCGCGGATGCGGTGGGCAGCGA